AATCTTAATCATAATCTACCTACCTCAGTTTAATAAAATTCCTTCTTTCTACCACATGATTATTTAAATATCTTTATAATATTTGTTTATTTTCAGATGATTCCACTCTGACATTAAGGTTATTTATATTTTTCTTCTATGTTAATGTTTCATGTTACTGGTGTTAAAATCTTTTGTTTTTAACTAGAAGAGCTTTGCTGAAAAAGTTAAACTTTTTATTAAATATTTAAAATGAAGATAATCTATGAATGAATAATTTTACTAAATATTTTTTCTGCTCAGTTTTTTTCATCTTTATTACAGACCATCAGTGACTGTAAGCATTCCATAGTATAATATACTTATTCTGTGCATTTAATTACATTAGTTGGAGAAAACTTTGTGTATAATCAAAGTAATTGATGTTTTAATTTATATCCCTTTCAGTATTGTTAAAATTATAACTAATTTTCGAATATGTATTGGTTTTTAGCTTTAAGGTTGATAAATAACTTTTTATGTTGGTTTGTTATTTCAGCTGCCTGTTTGGGAACACCCTGTGGTCCCAACACTGTGTGTGCAGCAGTTAGACACAGGGCACAGTGCACATGTGAAAATGGCTATACTGGGGATCCATACAAATTAAATATTGGCTGCACACGTAAGTTTGATTACTAAATGGTAACCTAGGGTAAACACACGTATTAATTTAACATTTGCTTAATGTAGTAGAAGTATTGAACTATATTGGATATAAGCATAACAAGCATTTTCTATCTTCTTATTTTTATATAGTTTTTTGAAACTTGTTAAGTTGCTTTCACTCTAGCTACCTTTATTCTTTATCATTCTATTAAGATAACACTAGATATGCTCAAGGATGTTTAACTATGAAGCTATAGTGTGAGCATTAATGTAGACAGCAGTATCATCAAATGGTATATCAAATAATGTCTTGAGGTTAAAATCTCCCTTAACTTTGAATTGGAATGATCAGAATGTGTAGTGCAAATCACTCTGGGTAAGTAACATTACTGAGTATCTAAGTAATGTTAGGATTAGTCAGTCTGGTAGAAGTTATCAGCAGTGCAGTTTGGAGAGAGAGAACAGCCACTCAGTTATCTAAGTAACATTAGATTCAGTCTGGTAGAAGTTATCATCAGTGCAGTTTAGAGAGAGAGAATAGCTACTGAGTTATCTAAATAATGTTTGGTTTAATCAGTCTTGTAGAAGTTATCATAAGTGCAGTTTAGAGAGAGAGAATAGCCACTGAGTTATCTAAGTAACGTTACATTTAGTCAGTCTTGTAGAAGATATCATCAGTACAGTTTAGAGAGAGAAAGAGAATAGCTTAGATCCAGTAAAAGCCAGCATCCAAAGCAAGTACACACACACTGTTTATGCTTTAAATAAAGATTATTCATTGTATCTAGTCTCTCTATTTCCTATGGATCTATTTTCTCACTCGTGAGAGAAATCAGTTTGACCTAAAAATACTATAGCTATTTTATGTGTGGTTTTATTAGTATTTACACTATTACTAAATGGTAGCCTAGGATGAACATATGCAGAAAATTATAATTTGAAGAATATGGTTAACTTTTTTGAAGTAACATGTGTATGGTTTGATCAGTATTTATATTCTGATCTGTTTTATCCCAGCAAGTATTGTAGGCTTCTCAATGCATATTCAGCTAATAAAAACTATCAAACAAGCTTTTTGAATTAACTGTACAGGTTTTATTAATGTTGTCTTCTGTCATAGCAAAAATATTATTTCCATTTGTTTAGTCCTTTACAAAAAAAACAGCAATAAAAACATTTCTTGTGAGATTTAGCCATGTATAAACAATGAGTTTTCAAAAAAATATAATTTGAAAAGTTCTGTGGACATAATCTATGGCCTTAGATGAGTTTTTCTATTGTGCCCTTAACTCTAGAATGCCAGAGTGAGGTCACTATGACCCCATACAAATTAAGCCTGTATGCTAAACTAACCACTCTGGCATTCTGGGGTTAAGAATAAACTGAGCTTGATATGAGTCTAGGACTGAAGTTAACAAGAGTTTTATCTGTGTCAATTAGACTTGTTTTTTTACAAAGTTTTTTTTTAAATTATATATTTTAAATACTTTGAACTTGAATTGTAATAAATAATTCAAACTTAAGAACTGCATAGCTGACTTTTTACTTTGAAAATTTTTAACTTTGGAATATTTCTAATTTTTTCAATATTGCTGTGTTTTGCAGCTATTCCACCACATATCTGTGACAGTAATGATGCCTGTCCTCCTAATGCTATATGTCAGCCATCAAGTAATGGTATTCGAGACTGTTATGGTAAGTGTATTTGGAAAAGTATAGTAGATTTCACTATTCATATCCTACTTTTTTTATATATGGTATAATGAAATATCTTTTTCTTCTTTACTACAGAAGTTAAACAGTGAAAATTCATGACTGTTTAATCAAAAATATAATATGACTACAGTATTATTAGCCATTAAAATACTTTTATCTTATTTAGTTTGATGAAATATTTTTAGATGCCTGTGCAGAAATTGTGTGTGGACCAAATGCTCAGTGTGTCTCTACAGACCATAAGCATGTTTGTACATGCATCAAGGGTTTTATTGGTGATCCTAACAACCATACTCATGGCTGTATAGGTGGGTAGAACAAAGCATGTGTTTCTGTGTCTTAGCATTAAGTATGAGATCAGAATTTGAATCACAAATACAATAACATTTTATAAAAATGAGTGAAGTATATGCCTTTTAGTATATTAAGATTTTTTAATACAAATTTACATGCAGTTATATATGTTATTATTATTATTTATATAGGTTACTTAAAAATACATACTGGGTTGTTTGGGTCAGATTTGCAAAAAAATATTAGCTCCTTTATGTACATTTGTTCATATAGTGTCCTCTGGTACTTTACACAGGGCTTTTATGTTAGTCACATCAAGAATGTATATACTTCTAGAAAAGAATAAGTAATTGTACCTTTTGAAAATTGATACATGTGAGAATGTACTTTGTTGTTGTGAGACATTGACTCAGAACAAATTTTCTGAGTACATGAAAATGTAGTTTCTCTTTCAACAGTTAAGTTGAAGACAGGTTATTTTGGAGAATGAATATGAGTGATTGAATTTCACCTATGCTATAAAATTTTATACTTTTTGATGGTTTTTATAAGATAGTTTCTTATAAGAAAATATAAAATTTTGAGTGATAAATGCTTGCTTTTGAAAATCATACCATAAGGTTAACATTTCTAAACTTACCATTTGGGGTCATGCACTATAATATTGTGTTCTATGTATGTTAACACATTTTGTCATTTATGTCATGCCAAAAGAATATAAATGCTAGATTTGTTTAGCCCTTTGAGATAGCTCAAATACAAAATTTTACATATTTTGTCATTTAATCAGATCTCCAGGGAAACTTAAAAATAATTTTTTCTAAGTATTGAATGAAGTTTATTGAAACTTTGCTACTACTTCTATGAGGTTAGCAGTGCCTTTTCCATTTCATATACCTATAAATATCAATTTCATTGTAACTACTCCAAAAAAGAAATATGTTCTCATGTGACATAATCCATATAAATTGTGAGCTGTTATCTAACATACATAGCCAATACCATAATAATTTAAATACAAAATGAAGTTCACAATACTAGTCATCATTATCCATGTTTAACCAGGAATCTCAACTATATGTAAAAAATAGCTCATTTCAAAAGTTGTCAGGTTTTTGCTTAATTAAAACCATGAAATCCAAAACAATAAAAGATACACACACATACACAATTACTAAAGCAGAATCTTTTTGAGACAGAATACAGTATATATCCAAATCATTGTTAATGTTAGATGTGAAAATAATTATGGTTGAAGTCTCAGTTTAAAGAAAATTTATGTAACATTTTTCTTGAAATATTATTTTTCATAAACCTTAAAATGTGTACTGTTATTTATAGGTACTGCCTGTGAATAAGCCAAGAATTAATTTTTAAAAATTATTGTGTTTCCTCTAGTGCCCCATCAGTGTGATGATGATGAAGACTGTGATTCTGATAAAGTGTGTCGTGTAGACTCAGATAAAGTTAGAAAATGTGTTTGTAAGTTAATCTTTATCCACATATATTTCAATCACCATATAAATGTTCAGAAATAAATTCAAATTCCTACAAAATCTTAAACTGAACACAGAAACTAGTTTATTTCCCACCTACTTTCTTGGTATATTAACAATATAAAAAATTTTTATTTGAGAGAAAAGTAATTTTATCGATAGAATTGTATATCTTATTTTGTATTTCCAGAAAGAAAACTATATTAATGATTTAAGTTGCAGTCATTTCTTGAAAAGCATTTATATTCTCTTTATAAATATTCCAATGAAGTATATGACAAAAGGACTTTTTTATTTAAATAAATTAAGAAATGTAAATGACACTGAGAGATTATTGTTTATGGTTCATAGTGGTCTGCGTATATGCTGAGTGTGGAGCTTCAGCTGTATGTCAAGCTGAGAACCATCAACCTTTGTGCATTTGTCCTGAGGGTACCACTGGAAATCCTAATGACTCTGATAATGGCTGTCAGAGTAAGTTGATTTCATTAATTTTATTTTTTGACTGAGTCTAGCTAAATAAGTCTAGTTTGTCTATGAGCTTATTACACTTTAAATATATAATTATTTTCATTATTCTTTATATACCAATAAATACTTTAAGAATAGCATTTACAAAAAAAAACTTTTTACAACAGCTTACAAGAACCAAGTAAGTGTCAAATAGTTTTGAAAATTTTTTTATAATTCTCTGTATTCTGTATATAGTTAAAAATGGAGTATTGTGACTTTCCTTAATACAAGAAAAAAGAAAAAGGTGGTGAAATTTGAAATAATTTTAAAAGTGTGTTAATTTTTTTTTTCATGTATAACAGTGCTTATTTGTGACACAGTTTTTCACATAATTATAAACATTGAATAAAATACTTCTTTTCTTTAAGCTATTCCTAACATATGTGAAAACGATTCTGACTGTATCGAGGATCATGTATGTCGACTGAATGAAAATGGCATTTTGGATTGTATTGGTAAGCATGTTTGGGACACATTGTTTACACACCCCGGTTCAACTGTCTTAATGATTGAATTATAAAATCTGGTTGAAGTATACTAGTGAAAAGAACTTGAAATAGTATTAAAAAAAGTGGGAAAAGGGAATAACATAGAATTGGTGTAAAGAAAACTATTTTACCATATTTCACATTAGCATTCCAGTCATTATAACAATAGACATTTTCAGAATATTCTGTGTGTCAGAATAATCATGAGTTATTATAGAGTTTGTTTTTAATGGTTAATGTTTTACAGTTGATATGATATCTTCATTTTACTTTATTTTCATAACCCTTAAGAGCAGGTTTTTAGATATAGTACTTGCTATTAATTTATGTTCTTAATATTTCAGTTTAAGGTTTTATAAAATCTCAATGCTTGTGATATTTATGTATTATTTTTTTGAATTCATTGGACTGCAACAAAACTCGTACCACAGTGTTGGCTTGATTAAATATTTGGTTTCTTCCTTTTGTAAACAAGTGTCATATCACTTTAATAAAATGTTGTGTGTACTTGAGCTATTGTCTGTATGCTTGACTTACATTCATGGTTTTGTTACTTTTGTCTTATGTTATCAGATGCTTGCAAATTTGTCTCTTGTGGCCCCAATGCCTTGTGCAAACCTAGAAACACTGAAATCATCTGTGAATGTGAACCAGATCATGAGGGAGATCCATATAATCTTGTGAATGGATGTAAACGTAAGTTGAGCTAACCTTTGTCTTTATATATTCAAAATATTTTAAGAGTTTATAAAAACAGTTCGAAATTTGTTTAATCTGTAATAAATAGTCTATACTTTTCATTCTCATTTTTCTAGCTTGTTTTAATAATTAACTTTTTTGGGGGGGACATTATTTTCTAGTAGTTATATGTACTAGCTTGTATTTTTACACATTTTGATAACTCATGATTACAAATTTATTACTTAAAATTACACTAATGAACCTAATCTGTCCACAGCACCCATCAAAGATGAATGTAAACAGGACACAGATTGTGCAAGTTCTCAAGATTTATGTAAACCAGATAACAGTGGGATTAAGAAATGTGTTGGTAAGCTTTTAAATTTACGTGTGAAGAAAATTTTTTTGTGGTGATTACTAAATTAAATATAGATATAAATGTATGTAAACAAAAGACTAAGATTAACATGTCTTCGTGTGTAAGTTATTTCTCTATAACATTTCAAATTGAGCTTATTTTGGTGCAAGTATGATCAACTTCAATAATATAGAACACTGTGTATGTAGGAACTTAGAGATATACTATATGTTCTTGTCCAAAAAATATGTAAAAATATCTATAATAAATATTCACTTGTAATGAAGGTAGAAAGTCTTCCAAATATCTCATTAGTTTTCAAACTCAGATACACTTTACAAGATAATTTAAATGTTATTTTATAAGTAAACAATAGCATTCTTGGATGCATAACTCAACATAATTTTATCATATCAGTGTATTTGGGATTATATTCATGTATATAGTTTAGTTTGTTAAACTGTATGCTGCATCATGGGCTCAGTTATAGATAATTTTGATGTCCTTTATGTATGTTATTGTGGTAACTAGTGCTAAAAAATTAATTAATTAAAATGGTTACTTTGAATACATATTGAGTAATATAGAAATTATTCTGATCATTGTTTTCTTTTTCTATATTAGAGTAAATTATATCAAACAGTGTGTTTCCTTCTCTTGTATAGAAAATGAAATTCAAGGTTATATACTTCTACATTTGGTGTATATTATATGTATAATACAGAATCTTTATTTTTAAGACAGAAATAAATATAGCACATTTATTTATTTTTTAACCCTGCATTAGTCTTCACAAATCCCAAATATTTTGTAAACATTGGCATCAACAGATGGAAGCATGTACATGTTTGTTGTTCTCAGTAGCTTTAGTGTTTGTTAAATTGTTACACTTAGTTTAGGTGGAAAAAAAAAAGATGTAAAATTCAATATTCATTTAATGGTTAATAAAGCGATTTAGAGTTTTATTGTTTCTTGTTTCCAAAATAATAGTTTATTCTTATTTATATATTTTTAATTTAATTATTTATGATTGGTAGTCCGCTCGGCCCCTGGAAGAGTGGCCATGGAAAATTTTTACAGAAGACTAATGCAGAGTTAAGTACTGAAAAATTTAATATGTGGTTTGTTATAGATCCATTTTTTTAATCAAACAAATTAAATGTGTCTTCTCATATAGATGCATGTCGATTCTCATCTTGTGGGACTAATAGTGAATGTGTAGTGATTGATCATGTCCATCGATGTCAGTGTAAGCCTGGCTTTGTGAAAGATCCCACCAATTTCCTTGCTTGTATTTGTAAGTGTTTTTTTATCATTTATGGGCTATGACAGTGCTAAATATTCTATGATTATAATTTTTAGAATAGTACTGGATAATTATTTTTTTATTATATTACTAGTACTTTACACTATAATTGTTTGTACATACATTTATTAACAGGTTTTTACATTTCTTCAGAGTAATCTGTTCATGAGATACTATTTAACTGTTTGTCTCACACAAGGTATCATTAGATAAAGCAGACTTTACAATAACATTTTGTGCAAGTTGTAAGCATATACATCCATTATGGTATTTAATATCAATATGCATTCTGGATTTTAATAATTTTGAACTTTTAATGACATATTTTCTTTTCTCTGTTTTTCAGCTAAAGAACCAGATCAGTGTAAAGAAGATATTCAATGTCCAACATTTCAAACCTGTAAGCCTAATAACCTGGGAACACTGAAGTGTGCTGGTATGTAAAAATATATATACCTATAAATAGCTTTGTTTTTCTAGTTTGAATTTTTATAGTTTCCACCCGGAACGTTTTTTCTTTCTGTGCACAATATGTCTTTTTTTTATTATTGTTTTTTATGTGAATTATTTAGGAAACTATCCAAAAAGTGCCTTAAATTTTCTTCACTAAAGAGAAAAACACAGTATATCTTATAATAATTTTTCGTTTATCATATAGATAAGCTTTGTAAAGTAAGCTCAAAACATAACATACATTGAAGAGCCAAGTTATTACTGACATTGACTCTACAATGCAAAGAGCTCATTAAGCAGTGTATCACATTTAATAAAACCCATATGAAATAACTCAATTTATTCACCACGCACTAATTAATTTTTGTGACTACCTTAAAATTTGATTGAAATCATACATACAAGAGCACAATTATTTCCTTTTTTTATCTTTAAAAACAATTGCAACTTCTTTTTTTTTTAATTAATTTAAAAAGTAAGCTATTGCATTTCTGAAGTATGTGTAACATTGTCTTAGTACTTTTAGCTCTCAATATAGTTCTCAACAAAATAAGTGATGCTTTTAATTAAAAAAATCTGTAAGTAAACCATAATATTATTCTTTTCTGGTTAAGTTAAAATATTGTACATTTTTATATTCATTTTCATCAATTCCTTTGGATATTAGTCATATCAGGTTAGATTTTATTTACTTTCACATGCTAACAATATTTAATTTTTGAATTTAATAGAGATCTGTTTGGATTTTACCTGCACACCAAATTCTGAGTGTATTGCCATAAATCACAAAGGACAATGTAAATGTAAAGAAGGTTTCACAGGTGATCCCAACAGCCGGAGTGGATGCGTTCGTAAGTATCCAAAACATAGATTTCATCTTCAACAAAAAAAAATCAAAACTGCAATAGATAAAACTTTATTTTTTTTTAGAAAAGTAGGTAGTACAAGTTCTCGTAATTGTTCTGTATTCTCATTTAAAATTTTAATGAAACATGTATGCTAAATTTGTCAAAAAATATATTTATTTACAAAAACTTTTCACTTAGTTGCATTGCTTTACAAATCATACATACATCATAAGCATCAGTTTATTTAACTTTAATTTTATATGATGTTCTATTCACTAACCATTTGGCATAATGTTGAATAAACTTCTTTATACTAAAATCTTATCAAAAGTCTTTTTTTTTTTTTTTTTT